ATGCGTCTTAATGAAACACCCTTATATATAATCCTTCTTAATGAAACACCCTTTAGTTCTCGCAAAAGCAAGCAATTGGAAACTGGATTCCTGTATATAAAAAACTTAAAGTAAAGATATGAAAAACAATACTGAATTTTTAAAAAAATAATTATTTATTTTAATCATTAATAATTGTTTTTAAAATAGTGGGAATATTTTCTATGTTAAATAATAAAATGCACTTTAGTAAAACCAACTGTACTTTGTATCCTATCACCTGTTTGTATTTCTCCCCAAAATTTGTTTGCGATCGGTCGATGTATGGCTATTTCAGAGAGTGTGACACACGGACTAACTGAAGTCACAAAATTGTGTGTGTGTGTGTGTGTGTGTGTGTGTGTGTTTGGGTGTGTGTGTTTGGGTGAGTTCACTAATAATAATAATAATAATAATAATAATAATAATATAATAAAAGAGTCCCAAAAAATCACACTCATGGTATTGCGTAGATTTCTCTATATACAGTTGTCGCGATTATATATATATTCTCCCTGATTGCATAACACTTTATATATTTGCAGCTTCTGATACAAAAAACATGTTGCCACTTGAAGCCTCTGGTTGAGACATGGAGGCAACACTTATCAAACAAAGCAAAGGCAAAACGCAATAACAGCAGGCATCCTTTTATCTCACGAGATAAAAATAGCGCCCTGTTAGAAAAATCGTCAGTCCTTTGGTGGTGAAATTGGAGCGACGTCTCCAAGGTGTAAGCCTGGGTAATGGTATATGGTGGTCATGCGCTGTCTTGACTAAATGCCCGCCCCATCTCTGTCGTACCGACAAGATCGAAAGGGATCCAGGACATTACATTTCGAGTCGGCTTGGGTGCAGGCGTTGTCAATGTTAGCAGCCAACCGCCTTCGGGCACAGCTCCAGGTATTCTATCTGGGTTTAATTCCATACCTCTTTTCTGTGTTTGTTTGGATATGAACGTACGGTAGCGGAGGTTTATAATCAGGATTTTTCTTCCTCTAGATGGACTGCATTCCCGATCTGTCGATTTCCATCTACTTGAAATAGCTGGTTATGAGGCGCCAGTTGGTCGCCTTAGTCCCTTCTCCGGCTTGGAGCTGAACTTAGTTGCTAGAGATTATTTGAGACGCAAAGCAAAGAAGTATTTTATAAACAGTGGGAACTTGTTTCCACTATCACTATGATAACCTTTGGAACATATATAATGCACATATATAAATAATATGCATTGCGTGTTTTAGAAGCTTCCCACAAAATTAAGAGTTTTTAAATATATAGGTAAATAAAATAGTATTATGTAGACCAAAATGTGACTCATCTTAATTCATCAATATGATGACAAAAAATTGAAAATTTTGTTAATTTTGAAAAAGATAGCAGATAGAAAAACATGAAAATATAAAACACAATAATAATAATAATAATAATAACAACAACAACAGAAGAATGATTATAATTAATGAACTAACGTTAAACCAAGCATAAATCTCACGACTTCTGTTCTTAATTAATTAGAGTTGTTAATGTGTACATGTTTGATATTGATGAATTGAAATGAGTCACATTTGAAACACGGTTCAGTGCATGTGAGTTGTTTGACCATAAACATTGGGCTTTGACCCCGAGGAGATGACACATTGAGTATCACTGTTCATTAGTAAGAGTGATATGGCGACATCATAGATAATGTCGAGAAGCTTTCCTCTTTTAATTTGGAAGGATGAGGCAGATGACGTTACTTGTAGTTACCTCTAGATACTTGGAATCAACTTCAATTAGAGATCCTCTATACAGAGAGGTTTACACGACCAGAAAGTATTTCTAACTTGGCCCTTCCTGTAAGGTTTAGTTATCTTATCAAAACCCGTCACTCACTTTCTACTGTCCTCTTGATTGCTCTTTTTTCTTTCTCCTCATTACTAAATGTTCTAATTCTTCCACATACAGTAACCTCTTGCGTGCTAGTGGCTGTATTGCCTTACTTGGGGTGATACCGATTAATATATATATATATATATATATATATATATATATATATATATATATATATATATTTTTTCATAAATTTAAATACGGACACAATAATTTACTCACGACAAAGATGCATTTTTGTTTCGATGCGCATGCATCTGGACTGAGAACCAAAGAATCGTTCATAATCATCTTTGGTTCTCACCAGTGGTGATGCATACGCATCGAAACAAGAATGCATCTCTGTAGTGAGTAAGTTGTTTTGTCCGTATGTACAAATGATAATAAATAATTATAAGCTCTCATCTTGGCATAGAGCCCTCTTTTGAATTACTGCTGTGAACGTTATAATTCATATTATTTTTGTTCTTATAATATATATATATATATATATATATATATATATATATATATATATATATATATATATATATACCCAAGTATAGGATTAGTGTATACGGAATAAATTCCAATAACCAACAAAGGCAAAGAAAATTTGATATATAGAGACCAATAAGCCAAAAATTGTGTAAAGCGTGAGATCAATAGGCCAAGAAATTGTTATATATACAGAGATTAATAGGCCAAGAAAGTGTGATATCTAGAGAGACCAATAGGCCAAGAATGTGTGATATAAAGAGAGACCAATAGGTAAAGAAAGTATGATATATAAAGAGACCAATAGGTAAAGAAAGTATGATATATAAAGAGACCAATAGGTAAAGAAAATGTGATATATAGAGACTAATAGGCAAAGAAAATGTGATATACAGAGAGATCGCCCTTCATGACACTCAGCTTGAAATTGGAACTGATTCCAGAGATGAAGCGGCGAAGGACAGACAGATACTACGCACTGATCCTTGGCAAAAAAAAAAAAAAAAATCCAGCAATGGTACATAAAAAAACAACGTGCTCTTTCTATATATCTAGAGAAGCTTTATAAAATAACTTTATAAGAAAGTTCAATGTCATTTGCCCTAACCTAACATATCGGTTTAGTCACTTTTCCATCGCCGAAATGTAGCTTCCCTGTGCTTTTTCTATTAATATTTCCATGGTAATTGTTCTGATCAACTCTCCTATATGATAGCTAAGCTTTATGAATTTAAGCGTAGTACAAGACTCTCGGCAAGTTATCATTTTTCAGTTGAAATGTCAAGATGGAACCTTAAGTTATATGCTAGCAGTTTTTTCTATCACACTTTTCGCCTGCAGAACGTTTTTCGGGTTTCTTGTTTTCCAGTCAAGTTTGATCTTCAAAAATTTAAATGCAATATCAGTCGTTTTCTTCCGTCGTCTTAGTTTATATTCTTTTATTGTTCTCGTTTATATATATATATATATATATATATATATATATATATATATATATATATATATAACTTTTCACACTTGATAACACCCTGCATTTTACTGGCTTTATTGCCTTGTTCGGGGTGAAATGATTAAAAAAAGTAGAATCAATGCATAGGTAATAAATTGGGTGCATACTATAGGAGCAAGAAATAGGATATTCATGATTTGAATGATATCAGACCGTGCGATAAACATGTTGAGGTATGTGCAATTATGTTTGATATATTAGGAAAAAAATATTTGACGATGTACGACAAAATGGTTTATTTGAACTGCTAGAAAATTATTTGAAAACAATTTTAGAAAAACTTCCGAACTTATACTGGAAGCAAATCGCTTTCATGCATATAGAAAATGAATTTAGTAGCGATAACAAAAAGAAAGCGGCATAAGACAAGGATGTGTCTACTCCCTAGATTTATTCAATCTTTATAGCAAGCTTATCTTAAGGGACCGGGAGATCTTATGTTATGAGTGTGCCTAATTTTAACAATATAAGATAAGCAGATGATAGCTGATAACTACAGGCGCTCATAGACAGTGCAATAAAAAAAAACGAGAAAAAATGACTATTTACTGAAAGAAGACCGAAAGTATGGTCACCAGCAAGAGAAAAAAAGCCTAAGATGCGAGTTTGAAGATGCCAACATCAAGTAAATATAGACGTTTAAATTTATGGGTAGTGTTTTAACAGAGACGGAAAATGCGATTCCGAAATTCAAACACGCATTGAACTCGCAAAAGACGTATTCCAAAAGCTAAGCAAATTATTAAGAAACAGAAAAAATCATTAGAAATAAAGAAAAAACACTGGATGTTATAAACATCCTCTTAAACTGGAGGCAACAGAAATGTGATTTTACAGAAGGATATAGATAATTCCATAGACACAGCCGCCAAGTAACGAGGATTTCATAAGGAAAATGGTAAACAAAATGTAAGCTTAAGAAACCGGAAGAGACAGCTAAAATTCCTTGGACGCATAATGAGTAAGTAGTTCCCGGAAAATTTAAGCCCCAAAGGGTAGACTGAAGTCAAATGGGAAAGGAGAAGGCACCTACCTGACTAGCTTTTGTGAATGGATAGCGGAAAGGACGTTGGGAAACTTAACAGAGAGAGAAAACTCCTAGGGGCTACAAGGAATTTGAATTATTGAAGGGATGATTACGGCAATATCACGTTGATCACTGGTTCTCGAAGAATTACTAAAGTTAAACAACGTAGAGTTTGGTACGTACACAGACGAGTGACCGATTTGGAATAGCAGGAGCTGCAAGTTTGGGTGCGCGGATGGTGTAAGTGATAACGGCTCGGAATTTGAAACCAGAGAGAGAGAGAGAGAGAGAGAGAGAGAGAGCGAGTGTTCAAATTTCAGTCTGGTTTAGTATATTCACTTCCCTTTGGGAAAGGTACGAATTCACATCCCCCCACGTCTACTGGTTAATTGGTGGCACCGTAAATCACTATTGTCTCGCAATTGTAAGAACTTTATAAAGTTCTTACAACCGCATAATGTTTTCTGGCTTTGAGTGACCTGCAAAGAGTTGATAAGCCATACAAATCAATATATAAATTTTGAAGATCCATGATCGCCTATACCCTGAAACTAGACGGTACACAGAAGAACATAGGACTAAAATATTGTAACTTACCTCGTCGAGAAGCATCTCTGCGTTGGTGGCAGACGTAATAACGATTACTTTTTGAATGAAAACTTTCCTCATGTTGATGAGGCAATCTCTTACTCCTTTTATGGAAGTTCCTACAGATAGGCGCCAGGCTTTCAAGCTCAAATTGTACTCGCTTAATAACGACTCCATAAAACTTGACCCTGAAAAAAAAAAGAATATATACATTTTACATGAAATATAAATACATTAGCACGTCAACATCCACACAATAGCGAACGTTTGGCGCAACAGGCAAAACTTTCGTGTTCGAAATTTTGATTAAACAATGGCGTAAAATGCATTCCTATGAAATGACAGTCGTGATATAGATATTTAATAATAATTGTTTTTTTTAAAATATAAATCATAAATAAATTACGTCGAATCAATTACAAGGTCTCCTACTATGAAAGTTCGTTCACTGTGTTGTGCTAAACAATTTTTATAGCTAGAATCTATCTTATATATTTATAAGTTTGCCTTTTGTCCTTGCTTTTCATATTGCTGTCACATCAAGTTTGGTGCTCTTGATATATATTTAGAGTTTCTTATAGAATCCAACACAGCTTTGCCCAAACCCAAAGCTGTCTGGACGAAATGTTTTGACAAAATGGCCAGATCTGACAGAGTTCCGGGTTCAAGATTACTCAAAGTCGCTCGAGATACATATTTACCACTTGTTACGTCGTTGAAATAAATGTTGATCCTTTCTAGGTATAAGTCAGAATCGACGTGGTAGTGGGGTCAATGCCATACGCTTCTGGTGTCAGTTCCTAAAAATTAGAAACAGTTTGTACGAGATAACCTAGCGCAAATATATCTCGTGAAATTCGGCCTGTGTTTGAGACATTTACAATTTTGTGGAACTAATTCTTGATAAAGAATTTGGTCTACTGCATATTGAGAATGGTGTTGTAGCAACGTTCAAATAAGTGTAGGTAATGCGATATATAATACTGGTTAAAAAAATATGAAATGGTGTCGAAACACCAAACATCACATACCAGCTTCAAAATAGTGATTACTTTTTCATCGTACAGACTCTTTCCCACAGAGGAAAAGTCACAAGCCTGTCTATCACTATTTCCATGGAAAATGTTTAAACAAGTTTTATTCTGTATCTGTCTATATTTACATTATTCGTACTATTGTCCGCATCTTTGTTGCCATATTTATCACAACGTTTCGGCCGTTGTATACTCCCGCCTTCTTCAGGTGGTTGGAATGTCAAACTGGACCCCTTATTTCGTTCGCTGGGGTAGAGTGTTCTAGTTCCACGTGCCATGCCTAACGGATGTCAGTTATCTCCTGTTAATTCACCTCTCCAAGTTCTCCAATGCCTTAACCAGGTATTGAACTCATAACTCTTTGGCTCCTGTCACTGGATCTAACCAACGCCTTTATCCACTGTGCCATGTGTCCTTAAGGACATCTGTGTATGGATTTCTGAGACTTATATACTTAATGTCTTCAGTAACCATTTTTTACCAGTGCTCATAATGCAATTTTTGCTGCTATCATTACATTTTTTTTTTACCAGAGGTCACATTGGCATTTTCGTTTTTATTATTGGTTTTCTCTGGCACGCCGTATTACTGATTCCCATATTGTTTCACTTCTATGCTTGGTCGGCTCAGGAGATTTTTGTGGTCTGGCATATGTGCTGATTCCTTAAGTTTACGAATTTTCCAATGCTGTTCTTTTCTAGGATTTCAACCGGATCTCACAGAGGGCGGTGATCTCCCTTTTCTCTTTTACTCTTTAGTAACACCAGTGCAGACCTTTACAGCTACGACCCACCACGCCACGTACACAGGGTCGAACCAAGAAAGAAGTTCTATTCAGATACTTCCCGAACACCACTACTTTGTGGGAAAAAAAACAAACTCCAGAGCGTATGCTCCCCTAATCACTGCAATCTTAACCTCCTCTAGTAACCGTTATATATCCTACATATCCTCATGATCTGCGCTGACTTCTTCCTCTTACAACAATTCAACAATTTCATTCAGTAACCAATTAGATTGAGTGGACCTTTTATTGAGTGAATATTTAGCAAACAAACGAAAATAATTATTTCTCCCACGTTTTAAACTATCATATATATGAATATATTGGGCTTACTCTGATGAAGCAAGAAGTTTGCTTCAGCTACAGAATCAACATTTACCATCTATTTTGGGGGTTTCATGCATTGGCATTTGCGATACCAGGTTGGTCCTCAAGGATACATGGGACAGGGGATAAAGGCGTTAGATCCAGTGACAGGACCCCAAGAGTGTGAGTTCAATACCTGGTCAAAGCGGTGGAGAACTTGGAGAAGGGAATTCACAGGAGATAACTGTTAACTGACATCCATTCGACATGGCACGTGGAACTAGAACAGTCTAGCCCAGCGAAGTTCGACATTTAAACCACCTGAAGAGGGCCGGAGCGTACAACGGTCGAAACGTTGTGATAAATATGGCAACAAAGATGAAGATGATAGTCCGAGCACTGCAAATAGTGTACATAATACCTCATCTCAGCAATATAGACAGATACAGGTTGGTGATGATTAAAATGCTAAGAGTGAAAATATCAAAAGGCATTAACTGCGCTAGACTGATGTTTATTTTCATAAAGTAAAAGAACTTGTGCTAAGAATATCTACATAAGCCGCTGAAAGAAGGTTTTAGCTGCAGAAGTCACTGTGCTTCTTTTCATTACGAACTGGTACACGTTTCATGCCGCCATCTTTAACAGTTGTATATTTTCATTCTAAATGTTGCCCGTGTTTTGGAATAGATTTTGTCTCTTTTTCGTCATGTCTAGTATTTCGTCTGTCATCCATTCATTTTATTTCTTCGTCTACAATTCTTACGGAACAGAATATAGGACACTCCGCAAAGAAATAAAAAAAACAAAAAACAAAAAAACAAAAACAAATGCAAGCTAAAGAAGAGTGACTCAACGAGAAATGTACAGAAATAGAAAGAATGGGTTTCACATATAAAGCAGCCATGCTTAAATAAAATATGAGAACTAAGAGGGCAATAGACAAGCTCATCAACAGGATGCGTAAAGTCTGAGGACGGAACACTGGTATTTTAGAAAGGTCAAATACTTGAGTAAATGGATGACAAAAAAAGGTTTAGGAGAAAAAGAGCTACAAGGGAGAGGAAGTTGTGGAGAGCCATGATTGCTTACGTCCTGAGGGAACATGCCGCATAAATAAGTAGAAATGTTATCCCCCAGCACTTCCCGTTAATGTAAACATTTCATTACTATTATTGCGCTGACACAAAATAATGTATTAGAATATTTTTATATTCACAAGCTATACCTGTCTGAAGTTAGTGTAATGGAGCTTTTATGGAGTAAATTTTATCTGGAGTGTAACTATCCTTATTTGAACAAAAATCTAATATTCAGTATTTGTCTGAAAATGTTTATTTACACTATTTACAGTGTTCGGATTATTGTCCTCATCTTTATTGTCATATTTACGGCGTTCCGACCATTGGACGCGCCGGCCTTCTTTAGGTGATATATACTAGAATTTGAAACGAAACCTTTATTTCATCCTCTAGATTTTTCTAGTCCCACGCGGGAAGAAAGCCTGGAGCGTACAACAGCCGAAACGCTGTGAATATGGCAATAAAGATGAGGAGAATAGCCCGAATAATGTAAATAGTGTAAATAGTTAGATATCTCATCTCAGAAATATAGACGGATACTGAAAAGATTTGTTTTAAAATCTCGACTTATAGTCGAGTACCTCAGATGTATTCATAAATCAAATTCACTTAGCTTTTAATGCTATTTTTTATTCTATTATAAAACCAATCTGAGCGTATCTGCAATTATTTCACTTAATCAATTTTGTAATTCGATATTCGCCGTTGCTTTTGCATCAACATTTGACACAGAAGATTTTTGCGTTTTTTTTTTACGAAAACATCAATTCGGCTTTTGTTGTTTTAACAAAATTTATACACAGTTTTTAGTTTTGTTTTTCTTATTTTACTCACACTTCTTGTCTGCACGGCGATAAGCATTTTTCAGTCGAATCTGCAGACATTTTTCTCTTGTGAATGAAGAGTGTCAGAATTTGTGAGGTATCAGATTTTTTTGATGAATAAAAACAACAGAAAAAGAAACAAATATATTGTTTAAAGTATAATTACTACCTAACTTATTGTTATTCTCAGAAATAAATCTGGAAGTAACAGCACGTGAGAAAATCAATGGGTTTCTTATAAAAAAGTTTAGGAATAAAAAAAATAAAAATGGTTGGAAATTAGGTGAAGAAAATTAGGACCATGAAAGCTGAAGTGGCAGGAAAAGGGGTTTAACGGCTAGAGGGAAAAAAAAAAAAAAAAAAAAGGAATGTTTTGAAAGTTAGGAGAAAGATGAGAGGGGGAAATCATAGAATGTGTAGATAAATAAAACTAATACAAACTCAAAGCAGTGGAAGAGTGGGATGTAAAATATTCGTTTATAGTATGTAAACAAATAGAGTGTATTAGAGAAAGAAGGAATAAGCTAGAAAGAAAGAATATATATATATATATATATATATAAATATATATATATATATGAGCATATATGAATGAAAGAAAAAGAAGAGAAAGGCGAAGAAAAGAAAAGGAAAGAAAAGAAAGAAGAAAAAAAAAAGAGAAAAAAATGAAGGAAGGAAAATAAAGAAAGAGTATAACACAGAGAGAGAGAAAGAGAGAGAGAGAGAGGGAGGAGAGAGAGAACGAGAGAGAGTGTGAATTGGGATGAAAAAAGATGTGAAACATTGTTGTAGCAAGAAACTGAAGTTACGACTAAAGAAGAACGAAAAGAGGAAGAAGAATGAAAAATGAAAAAAAAGGAAAGAAAATATCAAGAAATGCACAAATAAATCAACAGAAAGAAAGAAAGCGTGAAGGTAAAAGACAGTAACAAGAGAAAAGAAAAAAAAAACATTGAACGAAATAAAGAATGATCAAAATGAAACCCAGGCAAAACGAAAGAAAAAAAAGCGAAAACGTTGCAAAATGAATACGACAGGTGATAATGAACGACACAAAACAAAAGATAGAAAGAAAGAATGAATGAAAGAAAGACTCTTGAAGAAAAGAAGAAGGAAAATATACATATATCACCTTTCCTGACATTAAAAGAAAAAGAA